ATCTTGATCTTGATCTTGATGTCCCATGGGCTTAGCGCCCGTTGGGGCCAACCACTATACGGATGAGATTCTTCCATTGGTACCTGCTCTGCGCAAGGTGAACCAAATCTCTACAACTGCGGCCACACCATTCAGTTATATCGTCTAGCCACTCCCTACATGGTCGTCCTCTCCTTGATTTTCCATGTATTCTAGAGAAGACGATGTGTTTCAGGGGTCTACTGTTATCCATCCTGCATATATGTCCAAAAAGTCTCAATTTACGCTTTTTGATGACATCTATTATTGTTTCATGAGCACCAAGTTGTTTACGTATATCGACGTTCTTTACCATATCTGTCCAACGAATTCGGAGTATTCTTTTATAACATCGCATTTCAAAAGCCATCAATTTTTGTTTGTCAGTCTCTTTTAATGTCCATGTTTCGCACGCATAGAGTAGCACACTAAAAACGCATGTTGTCAGCAGCTTTATTTTATTTTCGATTGTTAGTTTGCCACTAGTCCACATATGTCTCATGTTTGCCATTGCACCATTTGCTTTGTTGATTCTTCTTCTTATTTCTTTTGAACAATTGTTGTCCCATGTTAGCAGACTTCCCAAATATTCAAACTCCTCTACATTTTCAAATTTTTCGCCGTTGACTTGTACTTGTTTTTCAATATTTTTATCACCAAACACCATTGTGTAATGACAAACTGGTTGAGTAGCTGACCGCTTCTCACGGTATAGATGTTTGTTGACTACTCTACATGACCAGAATGTATCTTTTTCACAATAAGACACGCGCTTATATGGAGAAGAGGAAAAAGAGATATGACCCGGAGATAGTATGATATAGAGGTGAGAGGATAAAGAATAGAAAGAGATGAACGATATCATTATCGTTACACATTGTCTTTGTTTTTTTTTATATTCACCATGAGACCACCTTCTTCTGCTGCTTTTGTTAGTTGTAAAACTTGGTCTTGGAGTGAGGTATGATCCTCACTCAGAGGATCAATATCATCAGCAAATTTTAGGTTGTTGATAATCGTTCCACCGATGTTGATTCCATTAATGTTTGATGTGTTTTGATCCATTATTCGTTCCAAATAGGCAATGAACAGGAGTGGTGACAACGGATCACCTTGTCTAGTTCCAACACTTGGTTGAAACCATTCACCAAGGTCCGTTCCTATTCGAACTGCTGNGAGTGAGATATGATCCTCACTCAGAAGATCAATATCATCAGCAAATTTTAGGTTGTTGATAATCGTTCCACCGATGTTGATTCCATTAATGTTTGATGTGTTTTGATCCATTATTCGTTCCAAATAGGCAATGAACAGGAGTGGTGACAACGGATCACCTTGTCTAGTTCCAACACTTGGTTGAAACCATTCACCAAGGTCCGTTCCTATTCGAACTGCTGTACGAGATGTACCATATATCTTCTGCAACAATGTTACCACCTTGTTGTTTACGCCGTACGATTTGAGAACTGCCCATATGATTTTTGTGTTTGATTGTGTCAAAGGCCTTTTGAAAGTCAATGAAACAATTGTAGATTTTCTTGTTGTTACGTTTTGCCTTTTCTGCTAGAAGTCTGAGTATCAAAATTTGTTGAACTGTGCTTCTGTCTTTTCTAAACCCAGCTTGTTCTTCTGATAAGTATGGGTCTAAATGATGCTTTAGTCTATTTAGCAACACCATCAGTGGAACTTTTCCTGAATGGTTGATGAGAGAGATTGTTCTGTAGTTCGAGCATTGACTGAGGTCTCCTTTCTTGGGGATTGGTATTAAGAGAGATCTTCCCCATTGCTCAGGAATATTTTCCTCCTCCCATACTCGATTACACAACTCATACATTTTGCGCTTTAAACATTCTCCCCCTGTTTGAAGCATTTCGGCCGTGATCCCATCGTTACCAGGACTCTTGTGTTTCTTCAGTTTGTTTATGGCTTCTTCCACTTCACTATATAAGATGCCATTTGAATCGTCGTTGGCTGGTGGTGTTATATTTTCTAATTCTTCTATTATTTTGTTGTTGTCACCATGCTCATCTTGATATAATTTGGAACAGTACGCTGTCCAAGTTTGTATTACATCTTGTTTTGTTTGTGATAGTGAGCCGTCGAGATTTTTGATGATATTTAATTTGGGTACATATTTCTTCTTCAATAGATTCGCCAGCTGATATGCTTGCCTGCTGTTTCCTACTGCCAGTCCCTTTTGTATAGCTTCGCATTGATCTTGGATCCAGATGTTTTTGTCCATTTTTGCCGATTTCTTCACTTGAGAGCAGAGGTTTCTGTATCTTTCATTGGCGATTGACGAGAGATGTTTTGTTTGTTTGGCCTTTAGTTTTTCATCTGCTAAACCTAAAGTATAAAGAGAGATCCGTGGTTTCTTGCTTACCTTTTGGATTTTTGTATTTGTTTGTACTGCTTCTTTGATTGCTTGTTCGATTTGTGCAGCATGTTCGTCGATATTGCAGTTTATGTCTACATTGTCCAGAAGATTTTTTAATTGAAGCTGGTATAAATGTTGTGTTGTTGGGTTGTTGAGTTGCTGTGTGTTAAGTCGTGGATTTTGTTTTGGTTTTGTCGGTACACTTTTCAATTTTAGTTTTATATTGCACAGAACTAAGGAATGATCGGAACTGATATCAGCTCCTTGAAATGTTCTACAGTTGATGACCGATGATTTCCAGCGTTTTTGTATAAGAATTAGATCAATCATGTTTTTGTGTATACCATCCGGTGATTCCCATGTCCATTTTCGGTTTGGTTTTTGTTGAAATGCTGTGTTGCAANGTTGTTGATAATCGTTCCACCGATGTTGATTCCATTAATGTTTGATGTGTTTTGATCCATTATTCGTTCCAAATAGGCAATGAACAGGAGTGGTGACAACGGATCACCTTGTCTAGTTCCAACACTTGGTTGAAACCATTCACCAAGGTCCGTTCCTATTCGAACTGCTGCACGAGATGTACCATATATCTTTTGCAATAGTGTTACCACCTTGTTGTTTACGCCGTACGATTTGAGAACTACCCATATGATTTTGTGTTTGATTGTGTCAAAGGCCTTTTGAAAGTCAATGAAACAATTGTAGATTTTTTTGTTGTTGCGTTTTGCCTTTTCTGCTAGAAGTCTGAGTATCAGAATTTGTTGAACTGTGCTTCTGTCCTTTCTAAACTCAGCTTGTTCTTCTGATAAGTATGGGTCTAAATGATGCTTTAGTCTATTTAGCAACACCATCAGTAGAACTTTCCCTGCATGGTTGATGAGAGAGATTGTTCTGTAGTTCGAGCATTGACTGAGGTCTCCTTTCTTAGGAATTGGTATTAAGAGAGATCTTCCCCATTGTTCAGAAATATTTTCCTCATCCCACACTCGATTACATAGCTCATACATTTTGCGCTTTAAGCATTCTCCTCCTGCTTGAAGCATTTCGGCCGTGATCCCATCGTTACCAGGACTCTTGTGTTTCTTCAGCTTGTTTATGGCTTCTTCCACTTCACTGTATAAAATGCCATTTAAATCGTCGTTGACTGGTGATGTTATATTTTCTAATTCTTCTATTATTTTGTTGTTATCATCATGTTTATCTCGGTATAATTTGGAACAGTACGTTGTCCAAGTTTGTATTACATCTTGTTTTGTTTGTGATAGTGAGCCGCCGAGATTTTTGATGATATTTAATTTGGGTACATATTTCTCCTTCAATAAATTCACCAGTTGATATGCTTGCCTGCTGTTTCCTACTGCCAGTCCCTTTTGTATAGCTTCGCATTGATCTTAAATCCAGTTGTTTTTGTCCATTTTTGCCGATTTCTTCACTTGAGAGCAGAGGTTTCTGTATCTTTCATTGGCGATTGACGAGAGATGTTTTGTTTGTTTGGCCTTTCGTTTTTCGTCTGCTAAACCTAAAGTATAAAGAGAGATCCATGGTTTCTTGCTTACCTTTTGGATTTTTGTATTTGTTTGTACTGCTTCTTTGATTGCTTGTTCGATTTGTGTAGCATGTTCGTTGATATTGCAGTTTATGTCTACATTGTCCAGAAGATTTTCCAATTGGAGCTGGTATAAATGTTGTGTTGTTGGGTTGCTGAGTTGCTGTGTGTTAAGTCGTGGATTTTGCTTTAGTTTTGTCGGTACACTTTTCAATTTTAGTTTTATATTGCACAAAACTAAGGAATGATCGGAACTGATATCAGCTCCTTGAAATGTTCTACAGTTGATGACCGATGATTTCCAGCGTTTTTGTATAAGAATTAGATCAATCATGTTTTTGTGTATACCATCCGGTGATTCCCATGTCCATTTTCGGTTTGGTTTTTGTTGAAATGCTGTGTTGCAAATGAATAAGTTGTGTGATGTTGCGAATTCCAATAATTGTTCACCACGTTCATTTCGTTTTCCATAACCATGTTTACCCATTGCATGTTCCCAGCCTGCATTGTCATCGCCTACCTTTGCACTCGAATCACCTGTTATAATAAGTATATCCTTCTTCGGAGTTTTTAATATTGTATCTTCTAGGTCGTCATAGAATGTTTCGATATCATCATTTGATGCTTCCGATGTTGGAGCGTATACATTGATTACTGTTATGTTGAATGGTATTGCCATGAATCTTGCTGTGATTAATTTTGAATTTATTGGATTGTAGCCTATTAGCACTTTTCGAGCTCGTGTACTGAGTAACATACCAACACCTCTCATATGCGCACTATTTTCACCTGACCATATGAAATCACCATTTGCTGTTTCACCTTTATCTGTCCATCGCACTTCTGAGATGCCAACAATATCGTATCTGTATCTTTTCATTTCATTTCTTAACAATTCCAGTTTGCCACTTGCTCACAGTGTTCGTACATTCCATGTACCGATCGTAAACACATTCTTTGCTAGTTTTAGTTTGTTGGAGATTGGTTTATGTGCTGTTGTTGGTATTGATGTTGTTCTTTGAGTAGTTATTGCTTGTAACGAAATGGTTGTTCCAGTAGCCAACTTTTCGACTCTGTCCTGGTCCCACGACAGAGGACGCGGACCCTGTTCACCCGGGCGATGTCCGAGCCGGTGTAATTTCGGAAAATGACCGTTCATGGTTGGTTTCTTTCGTCTTTTTGTTTTTACAAATGGCGGTATCTGCACCCCTTCCGTCTAACGCTCCTCCTTTTTCCGGACTTGCGACCAGCACGAAAATCATTGAATTATGATTCGCGTGGTGGAGTTTTGAAAATAATAAATAATCTAAAAGAGGAGTCTTGATTCTAGCCACCGTTATTATGTAACAATCGATCATTGAATGTTTTTTTTCTGATTTGGCAGAGAAAAAAGTTTTTTGAAAAACTGTGGTTCAGAATTGCAAAAAACGAAGTTTTTCGTATTTTAGCACTATAAGTATTTCAAGTCTTTTTTAACTCAAACGTGTGATTGATATGCAATGAAAACACCTATTTTGTATATTTTTATAGAATTGATATACTTTCACGGCCTGTCCAAGCGTGACGGAATCACATTTTTTCACATTGATTTTTTAATATCTAAACCCACAGAAGTCCAATAAGTCACGAAACGTTGATAAATTATGTAGGTCTAATTCCTTTACATGTACACAAGGTTTCGTAAGTATAGATGTTTTTGTCTTCGTTTTATCATTAAAATATAAGTGCGTGATGGAATAACAAAAAACGGAACTGTATATCGAAAGCTATGAAAAGAAATAGAAAACTTGGCTCAACGATAAGCGTGAGGAAGAAACTTTCTATAGAAGAGTTTTAGCCATGATGACAATATATTTGTATAATAAAACAAACTTCTGATAAAAAGTTATCTTGGTTTTATAAACAAGGAACACTGTCGTGACGGAATCACATTTGAGAAAAGGCTAAGTTTTTTCGACTTCTATTGTTCTTCAAAAGGGCATAGTACTACATTATATTTAAAATCATTTTATTATATCAACAGAAACAAATGAAAAATAAATAAAGAGATATAATTTCACTAATATAAAAAATATCTAATTATATCCATATATTAGGCTAAGCAAAAATATGGCCTTCACCTACATAAATTAAAATTTGTACAAGTGAACGCGAACGTTTTGCTCAGTCTAGTAGATCAAGAACATGTAACCTTTCATGCTCCACAACTTTCGCATAAAATAATCTCGGGGAAAAGTGACATCAGGGTCGCTTTTGGCTATGACGGAAGGAATATGCATATTTCTACTAGCTTCAAGAAGATTTTTATGAGACTAACCAATCATTCGATCGAAAAGAATAACATATTTGAAATCGGCACAAAAACTGAGTTGATCTACAGTTTTCAAAAGCCTATGAGGACTTTCATTTTTTAACACATCCCTGAGAGGGACCACGGCGAAGTTTTTGAGGGAAGGTGAAAGTCCGCAGAGAACTTTGAGAATTATACAGATCAACTCAGTTTTTTGTGCTGATTCCAAAATCAGTGTGAAGCTAGCACGAAGGAGCTAGCACGAAGAAACTGTGTGTAAGCTGAAAACTTTTTTCCAAAGTTTGTCCGGTGAATAACAATACCACCATTCGATGCAGAACTAAATTCTGAATCGAATGGACAAGGTTTTATGAACCGGACAAACTTTGGAAAAAAGTTTTTAGCTTACACACAGTTTCTTCGTGCTAGCTCCTTCGTGCTAGCTTCACACTGATGTTCCAGTCATTTCCTGCAAACTTCGAGCTGGAAACGGTCAGGAACTGATCGGATATTTCCTGTGCAATTCCAGCAGAAACCGACTCAGATTTCAACGGATCCAGTCGTCAGAATGATCGACCTGGGCAAGTGCAAACCAAATTTCAACGGAAGTTTTTCAAATTATTAAATGTACAAAATGAAAATTTACTCGGGCTTCAAAGAGAACAAGATGATCGTTTTCGGAAAAGAGTTGCTTTAATTCGTTCATTTAGATTATTTGGATGTTCTAGTTCTCATCTTCGAAAAGTTCTTTTCTACTCATACGTATTGCCTATTTTTACGTGGATCTATCCCATATATCCTCTCTTAACTTGCACACAACAAGAAAATTTATCTAAGTTCTATTATACATCTCTTCGTCGTACGCTTTATTGCCTTCAATGGAATGAAATCTTCTTTGCACATGTACTAGATGAATTGTCATTAGAAGATAGGTGCGCTGCATATTGGAATAGATATATTGTTGCACTTTTAAATTCTATTGATGGTTTCCTTCTCCTTGAGAAAGCTAATCTGAGTGAATTTCGTAAAATTTGGTTAAATAGAGAGTTTTCAATTAAAGGATTAAGAACATCAAAAAGATTTGTTCCTCATCTATCTATCTTGGAAAAAGTTGTATCATGGCTATCTTCCATTCCTTCAAATTCTTTTTTTTTAACATCGATATTTATTTTGTCTCTTTAAACTAGGTTGACAATATCAGTGTGAAGCTAGCACGAAGGAGCTAGCACGAAGAAACTGTGTGTAAGCTAAAAACTTTTTTCCAAAGTTTGTCCGGTGAATAAAAATACCACCATTCGATGCAGAATTAAATTCTGAATCGAATGGACAAGGTTTTATGTACCGGACAAACTTTGGAAAAAAGTTTTTAGCTTACACAGTTTTTTCGTGGTAGCTCCTTCGTGCTAGCTTCACACTGATGTTGAGAGACAATTATGGAGATACGAGAAAAGGAGTAAAATAAAAAAAGAAGATGATTAAGATAACAATTACCTTCACAACATAACACGTTAATGATAAGACATTTTGAGAGGAAGAATAGAACAGAGGAGCTACCCAACATGATCGAAAGTGACATCCTCTAACTGGAGGAGAAGAGAGAGTGACTGGCAATTACTATACGATACATATGTAACCATTCATGTACAAGAGAAAAGAAGAGAACGAGAAGAATTTTTCATTCCGATTTATCTTCTGTTACACTTATTTACATTTTGATATTAAAACGTATATTACACACAACATTTCCATAGCTCTATACCTTATTATTAATCAACCGTACATTCACACACTACAGAAGGTATTTATAAATAAAGTTGCATAGAAGGAAGGAAGAGTTTCTGAAGTATCCATATTGCTGATAATGATCAATTAGGAAATTACTCACGTCAATTTTCGAGTGTCGGGCTCTCTTGGAGAACCGTGCAAGATATTTGTTATTCTTTCGTAAGCCCATACTGAGATTCCATGCTCTTTTAGGCGTTTTTGCAGCGAGATAGGCACTGAATGTTTGTTGGTAAAGATTTGCTTCTGGAGATTTGTCCAAGTGTGCATTGAATTTAGTCCAATATTTGAACAAGAAGTCACTTAGTGAAAATTCCCTCGTTATAATGTAAACAGTTAGGTCGTCCCATCGCGTAAGGTTGTACACCAGTCGAAGTCCCGAGCAATACACATGGTCGATATTTCTCTGTTGAATTTCGGTATAAAAAAACCAGCATGAGAACAACCTATTCCTTTAAATTCTTCTATTCCTCATTATGATCTTGATGATGTTCTATTGTTACAGCATTTTCCTGATACTTTTTGCTAAAACCGTTGTTTTCTTTTCCTTTTTAATTTTCTCGTGATTTTTCTTCTTGTTCTATGTATTTCTTTCTTTTGATGATTTCTTTGTGGTGTATCCACGTGTTTTCTTTCCTATTTTCTAGTTTCTGTTTTGTTTTTTTTTCACTTGGCGAATTCACTGTTATCTTGCACTGTTAGGATCATCTGATCACAGTTTTCAGCAAAATAAAAAAAAATAACAAGATGATCGTTGGTTTCAATTAATGGAAAAGCAACAAAAACTCATCAACAGCAAATATACTCAATGATGCAAGTGAATAGTTTGTGATACTTTGCTGGTAAAAGAAAAGTATCAGATGATACTTTATCAATGATTTCAAAGTACCAACTGTTACTTTGTTTCAGATTCCTATTAAAAACACTGATCTTGTCATTTCTTTTATTTTCAATAAACATGTGATTATAAAAATCATTCAGTTTAGTGTTCATATGATCAGTTTTTCAGACTCTTAGAAAATACGATAAAAGAATAATCGATGATGTCACAAAGTAATGTACTTATTTTCACAATAGGTATCGTTTTCGTTTTCGAGAGAATATCTTCGTGATTGGTTATTATTGTGATCAATAAACATTGAAGAAGATAATTTTATTTATTTATTATCACTTTGTGATTAAAAAGAGAAAATGTTATTTGGAAGAAATGAATATAAAGAAATGGTTTGGAAAAATGGAAATGGAATCACATTTGAAATTGATCGATTTCCAAAAAATGACAAAGAAGATTTTCAATGGCGTTTAAGTATGGCTATTGTCAAATATCCTGGAGGACCTTTCTCATTCTATCCAAATATTGATCGAAGTTTAGCAATTTTTCATGGAAAGAAAATTCTTCTCAAAATTAATAACGAAAAATCAATTCATTTAAATGAAACATCCGTTCCTTATTCATTTGCAGGTGAAACATCAATTGAATGTGAAATTTTTCAAGATGAAATTACTGATTTTAATGTGATGACAAATCGAAAGTATTTTCAACATAAAATTCAACGTTTGACTTTAAATAGAAATGATAATCCAATGAAAATAAATAATTCCAATGAAAATATTCTTTTCTTTACTCTTATTAATGGAAATTTACAAATGAATCAATTTCATTTAACAAATGGAGATACTCTCAAATTTGATAATCAAAATCAAATCATCGAAATTTCTACTTTAGATGAGATTTCAACATTCTTTTTTATTCAAATTATTCCATTGAAATTCAATATAAATGAATCTTCTTCTTGATTTTGATCAAAACAATTGAATATTTCTAAAGAAAAATGACACTTTTCTTCATTTCACTAATAATAAAATAACAACGAATATATTGTATTATCTATTATTCCTTCTATTCTCTTGTATTTATCATTGTTACTTCAATGATTGATGACGAAATTAGAATCATCCGATCGTAAGGTACTTGTAACTTGTTGTACTTCGTAGAATTGAAGTCATGATAAGACAAAGTGAATCATCATTTGTTTTTCTTGTATCTAATAACTTTACCTTTCGTGATATTCGTTCATGCATATCCATTCAATATCTCTTTTTATTTTTGAGAAAAATCGTCCGAGTACATTGCATAACACAAAATAAATTATTAAACAAGGAAAAGACGAAGTAGATGGTTGAAACAACGTCAAAAAGTGATTGTGATAAAAATGAAGTGGTGAAAGAAAAGATTGTTGATGAAACAACTGAATTTGAAGATCTGAATTTTCCATGGCCATTAATTCGTTTGATCAAAAGTTACAAAGATAATTATCCAACAGATTTCAATATCTTCCGATATTTCTTTTTTTCATATAATTTTCATTTATCAATAATTTTGATTTTCTCTCTGGTTTGTTTTGTATCTGGTTGTCTTATCATTCAAAATTGTTTTGATATCGCCGTGTTGGGTATTGTTTTCATCGTTCAAGGAATAATCGGTTTGTTGGCTGTTTTCGTTCATCTAATTGTGATGATTTATCCGTAAGTAAATCTTTCAAAATAGAAAACAAAGAATTTCTGATAAATATTTGTAGATCAACTTCATCAACATTAATAAAACATACTTCATTGAATGAAGCTCGTGTTTATCGAAATCTGATTATTTTGTCTCATTTGATAACTGCTGTTGGTATTTTGTGCTTTTTATTTGGTCACATATGGATCATCAGAGAGCTGATTGGTGTTTATACTTGGCAGTATGATGGAGGAAATCTTCACATATTTACGATAATCATGTTCATCATTGAAAATCTTATTGCTATTTGGTTACTTTTCGTCTGCATACAGAAGAATTTGGAAAATAAAAAGAATCATTCCAAGAATATTGAAGATCAATCGACAAAACTCGATGAAGATCTTTTAACAGATGTTTAAAATGACTTTGACCGTTTTTCTTCTTTTATTACATGATTTGACTAATGAAAATATCTATAGAAACCATGATGTCGATACCTTAAAGTATCCAAAAGAAAAAAAATGTGTTTATTTAAGACAAGAAGAGAAAAATTGAAATTTGAATAAATAGAATATGTTTTTTGCCATTTTCGTTTGATTAAAAAGAAGAAAAAAAAACGAAACCAAATGACAGAAGAAACTGATTTAGTATGTCCAATAACATTGGAAATCTTTCGTAATCCCGTTAAAGCAACAGATGGACATATCTATGAAAGAGACGCAATTGAAAAATGGATTGTTGATCATGGAACAAGTCCAATTACGAGAGAAACATTGAAAATCAATGAATTAATTCCTCAAAATGAATTAAAACGAATTTGTTTAGAAAAAAGAAAATTAAGTGTTTCATACGATCCAAATGAAGAAAAAGTCACTTTGCCAAGATTAAATTATATTGTAACAAATACAATTCGAATAAATCCTTTGAATAATCAACAACAATCGAATTTCAATTTGACAAATTTATCAAATCCAATTTGTTTCTTCTTAATTTTATTTTCATTTATTTTTCCAATTTCATTTCTTATTGGAATTACTCAAGGTTTAACAAATTCATTTGTTCAAGGTAACACTTTCTCCTTCATTTATCGAAAAACGATTCTTTCTTTAGATGTTGACGTAAGTACAACGTATTCAGATACATTATCAACCAATGATTCGATTTATACTCAAAATGGAACAATTTATCCTGGAAATTATTCTTATAAAACAATTGAAATTGTCATTTCAACAAACGGATTTTATGGTTTAGAAATTCAAAGTCAATCTTCAACAAGTATCGATGGATTTCTTTATAAGAATTCCTTTAATTCAAGTGATTTATCAATGAATTTAGTTTCATTAATTTATAAAGATAAAAAATACTCGCAAACTTATCTCGGAAATTATTTCTTTCAAACAGATAAATATATTTTGATGATAACAACTTATTTCTGCTGTCAATATGGACCTTTTCAAATTTTAATTACTGGACCAAATTCAGTTCTATTCAGATAAAAGTCTTTTTATTGAAGGAGATATTCAAAAACTACAAAAGAAACAGAATCTTTTTAATTGATTTGTTTTCCATCAATTGGAGGTCCAATGGTCATTCCACCAGTCAAGGATGAATCAACAAATTCGTTTGATTGACATGTTGATGAAGAAGTTTGACTTTTCGACTCATTATTACTTGATGTAACTGTTCCACAACCCATTTCGAGTAGTTTTTCATTAGCAATATCAGCACCTTTTGGAGGAATTGATGAACTCATTGCCCTTTTCTGTATCCCTAATGAAAGAGCCAATAACGAATGTCATCGGTGTGAAGCTAGCACCACGTAACTAACAATTTTGTCAAAATGAATTCCCGTCCGTGAAAACTAGCCTATTCGATTCAGAATTTAATTTTGAGTCCAATGGTGATATTTTTAATCACGGGCAAACGATAGGAAAAAAGCTTTCTTTGATCTTTATTTGTCCCCTACACATGGAAATGCGTCATTGTACGACAGTCGGCACGCAATTTCTCTGCACAGAATGAATTCCCGTCCATGTAAAACAGCCTGTTGGACGTAGAATTTAATTCTGCATCGAACGGTACCACTTTTATTCACGGGCAAACGATAGGAAACATTTTCTCAGGATTTTTCTTGCATATACGTACCTATAGAACAAAAACTAAAAGTCGGGGTAAGCTTCTCCCCTATTATTTGCCCGTGAATAAAAATATCACCATTGGACTCACAATTAAATTCTGAATCGAATAGGCTAGTTTTCACGGACGGGAATTCATTTTGACAAAATTGTTAGTTACGTGGTGCTAGCTAAATGGTGCTAGTTTCACACCGATAACGATGTCTTTATTTGTTTTCTTTCCCTTGGAATATCATTAGATCAATGTGCGATCTATTTTTGGATATCGAACAGTATTTGTTGTATGTAATCCTTCGATGTCAATATATTTAATTATAAGTTTATTAGTAATCTTCTGCCATTAACGTCAGCATCTTGATACACTAATCATTACCTAGTATTTAGCGAGATTTCAAAATTTTTGAGTCAATTTTTTAGCGAAACTTGGTTCCGTCTCTCCTATGTGAACACTTCAAAAGGGAGTCTTCGTTGTGTGCCGCGGAGATATAGCATCGTATAATACTCTTTTTTTTCTAGTTCATACAGTGCCATGGACTGTTTTTCTTGTGTATGAACATACGAACTTTTATTGATCAGCGATATACAACGACATCTTTTGGTGGCAGTAACAAACTTGTATTTAAGTAAGACGAACTAGATGTATCGCAGTAAACGGACAGAAAACAAACGAACAATAGGCGAATTTGTTGAAAATGTCTAATGTACGAAGCAGACGTGAATGTATGATCCTACATCTACTCGTCCTTTTTCGTATATTGAGGAAAAATAAACCAGACGCCGCATTTCCCTCTTGAAGATCTTCAGTATGCATCCTAGAGCACAAATTGAATTTGCCTTTGTTTTAGATCAATATGTCGTATCGTTCTCATCACCATCGCTTACGACTCTTTCAACATTGTCATCCGCCAAGATTTGAATCAACCAGGTTGGACGATGGAAATGAAAACTTACATAGGGTAAGTACATCTGTTTTATCTTTTTATTCCCTTCTAGAAAATCATTAGCGTATAAATGTTGATGTTGACCGCGCCGCCGCGACACGACATTCAATATTTCCTATAAGTACGCGGGTAAGCACACAGTGTACAGTGAGCACAGAAAAATTCATATTATGAGTCTCTCGCCTACGCAAATAAACGAAGATGATTGCTGGATTACAGACGACGATGATGATTTTGAACGAGTAAATTTTTTTAAAAAGAAACACATGAATTACCTTTTTACTTATCTGTTTTATTTATGTTATTTCAGTTTGATTCCAGTTCTCAACTCTATGTCAATCATGAATCCGAACCATTCCGTCGAATCAGCATGCATCTAAAAAAAACAAAAGAAATGGTATGAAGAGAAAACTTTAAAAAGATAATCATTTATTTATTGTTTTATTCGATTAGAGAGAATGACAGAAAGATAATAGATGCACGTAATTTGCTGTTGACTGAACCATATAGACATTCAATTCGGAAAATACGCAACAGNTACCTTGATTCTGATTTTTTTGCATATATATATAGAAATTTCTTTTTTAATTCGAAAAACTTTTTTCCAAACGTTTTCCGGTGAATAAAAGTGGCACCAGTCGATGCAAAATCAAATCTTGCATCGAATACACTCGGTTTTATCGACCGGAATTCGTTTTCAGAAAATCCTTAGTTTGATGGTGCTAGCTCGATGGTGCTAGCTTCACACCGATTGTCAAATCTTTAAATATCAAACGACTGAACGATTATCGACATCAAATAACCAATACTTATAATTGGGTTGATTAGAAAGAAAAAAAGAACATTCTCTTTATTAATCTTGTCATTTCTTTTATTTTCGATAAACATGTGATTATAAAAATCATTCAGTTTAGCGTTTGATATGATCAGTTTTTCAAACTCTTAGAAAATACGATAAAAGAATAACATAGATGATGTTACAAAGCAATGCACTTATTTCTACAATAGGTATTGTTTGTTTTTTCGAGACAATATCTTCGTGATTGGTTATTATTGTGATCAATAAACATTGAAGAAGATAATTTTATTTATTTATTATCACTTTGTGATTAAAAGGAGAAAATGTTATTTGGAAGAAATGAATATAAAGAAATGGTTTGGAAAAATGGAAATGGAATCACATTTGAAATTGATCGATTTCCAAAAGATGACAAAGAAGATTTTCAATGGCGTTTAAGTATGGCCATTGTCAAATATCCTGGAGGACCTTTCTCATTCTATCCAAATATTGATCGAAGTTTAGCGATTTTTCATGGAAATGAAATTCTTTTAAAAATCAACAAGGAAAAATTAATTCATTTAAATGAAACATCTGTTCCTTATTCATTTGCAGGTGAAGCATCAATTGATTGTGAAATTTTTCAAGATGAAATAACAGATTTTAATGTGATGACAAATCGAAAGTATTTCCAACATAAAATTCAACGTTTGACTTTAAATAGAAGTGATAATCCAATGAAAATCAATAATTCCAATGAAAATATTCTTTTCTTTACTCTTATTAATGGAAATTTACAAATTAATCAATTTCATTTAACAAATGGAGATACTCTCAAATTTGATAATCAAAATCAAATCATCGAAATTTCTACTTTAGATGAGATTTCAACATTCTTCTTTATTCAAATTATTCCATTGAAATTCAACATAAATGAGTCTTCTTCTTGATTTTGATCAAAACAATTGAATATTTCTAAAGAAAAATCACACTTTTCTTCATTTCACTAATAATAAAATAACAACGAATATATTGTATTATCTATTATTCATTCTATTCTCTTGTATTGTTGTCATTGTTACTTCAATGATTGATGACGAAATTCGGATCATCCGATCGTAAGGTACTTGTAACTTGTTGTACTTCGTAGAATTGAAGTCATGATAAGACAAAGTGAATCGTCATTAGTTTTTCTTGTATCTAATTACTTTACCATTCGTGATATTTATTCATGCATATCCATTCAATGTCTCTTTTTATTTTTGAGGAAAATCGTCCGGGTACATTGCATAACACAAAATAAATGATTAAACAAGGAAAAGACGAAGTAGATGGTTGAAACAACGTCAAAAAGTGATTATAACAAAAATGAAGTGGCGAAAGAAACGATTGTTGATGAAACAACTGAACTTGAAGATCTGAATTTTCCATGGCCATTGATTCGTTTGATCAAAAGTTACAAAGATAATTATCCAACAGATTTCAATGTCTTCCGACATTTCTTTTTTTCATATAATTTTCATTTATCAATAATTTTGATTTTCTCTCTGATTTGTTTTGTATCTGGTTGTCTTATCATTCGAAACTCTTTTGATATCGCCATGTTGGGTATTGTTTTCATCGTTCAAGGAATAATCGGTTTGTTGGCTGTTTTCGTTCATCTAATTGTGATGATTTATCCGTAAGTAAATCTTTCAAAATAGAAAACAAAGAATTTCGGATAAATATTTGTAGATCAACTTCATCAATATCAGCAAAACGTCTTTCATTGAATGAAGCTCGTGTTTATCGAAATCTGATTATTTTGTCTCATTTGATAACTGCTGTTGGTATTTTGTGCTTTTTATTTGGTCACATTTGGATCATCAGAGAGCTGATTGGTATTTATACTTGGCATTATGATGGAGGAAATCTTCACATATTTACGATAATCATGTTCATCATTGAAAATCTTATTGCTATTTGGTTACTTTTCGTCTGCATACAGAAGAATTTGGAAAATAAAAAGAATCATTCCAAGAATATTGAAGATCAATCGACAAAACTCGATGAAGATCTTTTAACAGATGTTTAAAATGACTTTGACCGTTTTTCTTCTTTTATTACATGATTTGACTAATGAAAATATCTATAGAAACCATGATGTCGATACCTTAAAGTATCCAAAAGAAAAAAAATGTGTTTATTTAAGACAAGAAGAGAAAAATTGAAATTTGAATAAATAGAATATGTTTTCTGCCATTTTCGTTTGATTAAAAAGAAGAAGAAAAAAAAACGAACGCAAATGACAGAAGAAACTGATTTAGTATGTCCAATAACATTGGAAATCTTTCGTAATCCCGTTAAAGCAACAGATGGACATATCTATGAAAGAGAAGCAATTGAAAAATGGATTGTTGATCATGGAACAAGTCCAATTACGAGAGAAACATTGAAAATTAATGAATTAATTCCTCAAAATGAGTTAAAACAAATTTGTTTAGAAAAAAGAAAATTAAGTGTTTCATACGATCCAAATGAAGAAAAAGTCACTTTACCAAGATTAAATTATATGATAACAAATACACATCGAATAAATCCGTCGAATAATCAACAACAATTGAATTTGAATTTGACAAATTTATCAAATCCAATCTGTTTCGTCTTAATTTTATTTTCATTTATTTTTCCAATTTCATTTCTCATTGGAATTACTCAAGGTTTAACAAATTCATTTGTTCAAGGTAACACTTTTTCTCCATTTATTCCAAAATGACTCTTTCTTTAGATGTTGATATCAGTACAATGTATTCAGATACATTATCAATCAATGATTCGACTTATACTCAAAATGGAACAATTTCTTCTGGAAATTATTCTTATAAAACAATTGAAATTGTCATTTTAACAAATGGATTTTATGGTTTAGAAATTCAAAGTCAATCTTCAACAAGTATTGATGGATTTCTTTATAAGAATTCATTTAATTCAAGTGATTTATCGCTGAATTTAGTTTCATTAGTTTATAAAGATAAAAAATATTCGCAAACTTATCTCGGAAATTATTTTTTTCAAACAGACAAATATATTTTAATGATAACAACTTATTTTTGTTGTCAATATGGATCTTTTCAAATTTTAATCACTGGACCGAATTCAATTCTATTCAGATAAAGATTTTTTTTCTATGATAATTACTTGTTATAATCGTTTCAAAATCAATTACAAATACTTTTTATTAACATCATCAACGCCTTTTGGAGAAATTTATGGACTCATCGTCATTTTCTAAATTTCAAATGAAAGAATTGCTAATAATCTCTTTGTTTTCCAAGCAGAGAAGAATCCGGAAAAACGCGTGTTCACGCGTAAAATACTCATTTTATTGTCGTGTATGCGCGAATTGTTTCTAATCAGCGTGATTTTAGTCACAATTTCGAATAATTACTCGTTTTCACAGCAAATTCTGAGCGCTTGTTTGCGAGTACACGTACTGATTCTGCGAAAACCATATCGTCATCACGTCAATATCTTGAACAGTGAAAAACGTTTCACGGTTTTGGTTGCCGATCGGGAACGGCGATTGACAACCAAAGACGGGAGGCATTTTTTGTATTGTTTTCACGCGTTTTTGGCAATTCTTATCTACTCGGATTGTCTTCTTTTTTTTCCAACCAATCATTCAATTTGTGAATGCCATAGATGGTTTTGATTGTATGGAAATAGAATTATATCCTTTTATTCATCATTTCTAGAACAACATCTCTTAGGGATACATACATGTTGAAATCGAAAATTGAATTCAATTATTCGAGTATTGAGGAAAACTCGACGAACAGGAACAAAGAAATACTCTTAAGTTTGATATTACTGCAATGGATGTCGGGAGAAAAAAAGATTTTTCTTCTGATTTTATTCTCTATATAAATATTTAATCATCTTTTGAAAATCTTCATCAAATGTTGAGTTAAATGTTGAATTAATTGTTGTAAATGGAAATTGATTTAAATAATGATGAATATTAACAGTGACATGATGATTTTGTTTAACATTTAACCATTTGTTCCAACAAAAAATAGAAATTAAATCCAAATCTTGATTAAATTTATTTAAAAATAATTTGTGACTTTGTTGAATAAAGAAAAGATCTTTATAATTAAATTGACAAATTCCTTCGAAATAAATTTGTGATTGACATTTTGTAAAAGGTTGTCCTTTCCAATGTTTATGATGAGATAAAAGTTCATAATAAGGATAAAATTGACTTGTTCGAGATTGAAATGATGATAAATGTTTCAATTGAATTAATGTTGAATAAAAATGTTCATCTGGAACTGATGTTTCATTTAAATAAAAAAAGATTTCATTTGAAAAATTATCATGAAGAATTTCATTAAGAAATTTTCGTGTTAAAATTGTATGAAATTCTCCTTTATAAATCGTCACATTATTCGGTGGTGGAAAAACTTTTGATCTTTGTCGATTTTTGTATTGGGGAATTGAACTGATGTCAACTCGAGTTTTATCATTGATCAACTGAAGAATTTCTAATCGATTTCGATTTGTTTCAATTGGAAGTTCACTTCCCTAAATAATCGAAAAATGAATCGAAAAGTCTAATCTTATCTTCTTACTGCAATTGTCATATAATAAAACCATTTCGAAGATCTTTCAATTAAAATTTGTTGACAAAGTCTTTCAACTTGTAGAATAGAAAATGTTCCCCATGAAATGTTAAATCTTTGATTTAAAAGAAAAACATTTTCCAGACAATTTGATAATATTCGAGCAAATTCATAGATTTGTTTCGATGCTTTTAAATCGATATGAATACAATAGAAATTTGTTTGAATATATAAAGTTTCAATTAGAATTTGAAATTGATAAAAATTTTTATAAATAAGAATTGTAAATGCCATAGGATTTTCTCTTTCATTTTCATCTACAAATGACTTTTTCAACGAATATTTTCGAAGAAAATCTTTACAAGAGATATTTTCATTAAAGTTCTCCCAAATTTGTAATTTCTCTCGTAAATATTTATTAATTTCGTTGATTTGATTTTCTTCAATTGTATTTTGCCAATTTCCATTGATTAATTTTCCACAAAAAGTATTTTTAAGAAAATGTTCACGAGAGATTTGTGATGAATATCTTCTTCTTGAATGATAAATAGAAAAAAGAATCCATCCGAATAAGAATAGACCAATGATGATTCGATATCGAATGCAAAGATTCTATTTTACAAAAAAAAAAAGAAAAGTTTTGTATTGAAAAGTCTTTTAAATCAACGAGAAATTCACCTTGAAGAATCGTTTTCGAAGTAACATCGAAAAAATGTTTCTTTTCTTTTCAAAACTCTTTTCATTTTTTTCTTTTTGAAATGAATCATTTTTTTTGCGTCAAAATTTGTCGTTCTTCACTATGAGAATGTTAAAGGTGAATCTTCTAATAACATTTTTTATCAAAAATGGTTCGATGTTTGTTGTTATTTGTGTCTTTAATAATCCTTTGGAAATGTTCAATAAACGAAGGAAAACCATCGATTATTTTTGTTCCTGGTTTTCTTTGTAGTTTATTGGAAATTCGAATAAATACAACAATTCAAACCAAATGTCCGAAATCAATTGATAATCAATGGATTCTTCTTTGGTTAAATCTTCGTTTATTTCAACCTGAATATTTTTTATGTTTTCATGAAATATTTCAACTGATTTATAATGAAACATCAATGAATTTTGAAAATCCACCAGGTATTCAAACACGTCTTCTTACAAATTCTTCAAAAAGTTCATTTCTTAATGGTTTATTATGGGAATATATTGGATTAGATCAATTTCTCTTTCATTTTCTTTTCAAACATCAATATGAAGATGGAATTAATATTCGTTCAATTTCTTATGATTTTCGACGAGGAACAAATGAAAGTTTAAACGAATTTTGTCAAAGATTAAAAGAATTAATTGAAATAACATATTTAACTAATAAAAACGAAAAAATCTCTTTAATAAGTCATAGTTTAGGTGGATCAATGACTTTAAATTTTTTAAATCAACAAAATGAAATATGGAAAGAGAAATATATTCATAGTTGGATTTCATTAAGTGGAAATTTAGCTGGTGGAATTGATAATATTCAAAGTTTAATTCAAGGTTTTGTTTCACCTTTAATTCCCAAAACAATTCTTCAAACTTGGGATTTTTATTCATGGCGTTTACCAAATTCATTCATTTATGGAACAAAACGAATTTTAATTGAAAGTCCAAAAAAGAATTATTCATCAAATGATTTCTTTGATTTTTTAAATCAATTAGGAGCAAAGCAACTTGCACAAGTTTATTTAAAATCTTCATTAATTCTTTCAACATTTTCTCCACCAAATGTCAACACTTTTTGTTTTTTTGGTACAAATATTTCAACACCAATCAAATATATTTCAACATCAAATACTTTTCATGGAAAATTATCAATTCTTTATGGATCAGGTGATGGAGAACTTGATGATACAAATAATTATTCATGTCAATTATGGAATCAAACAATGGATCCAAAATATCAATTAACAATCAAATCTTTTCCATATGTAACACATGTTGGTTTACTTTCAAATTCAAATCTTCTTCGACAAATTGATCAAATTCTTTTCAATTGATTTGATTATTTTTCTTGGTGATTTTAATGAATAAAAGCTCATTTTTACTAATGATTTGTATATCCGAACTTAGCTCAGCTGGCAGAGCGGTAGGCTGTAATGGACTTTTCATAGTAACCTATAGGTCCCCAGTTCAAATCTGGGAGTTCGGATTTAAAATTTTCTTTTTTTTTTTCTTTTTTATTGCAAAGATAAAGAAAGGACAAACTACATGGTAAAAAAGACGAATTTATTGAGTCAAATCGAATGTTGAAGATGATTTTGTTAGAGTGCAGCTTTACATTCGGTATTTTCTCGTTCGTCACAAAGTGCTGCTGCGTCTTTGCCTTCATTATTTTGAATTGTTTTATCAGCTCCTGCAGCAACAAGTGATTTAACAATATTTGGTTTATTAAAAAAACACGCAACCATCAATGGAGTATTTCCACGTTGATCTTTGATATTGACATCTAAACCAGCTTTGATTAAAATATCAACACAATTTGGACTATCAACCATTCCTAAACAGATCATCAAAATCAAAATTCTTTTCTTAAAATCGAATTCAAAGATAATTCTCACCTGCAGCAGCAAAATGTAAAACAGTTCCACCGGTTTCATTTTTCACATCACGTTGTGTTGCTGAACAATTAACTAATCTTTGTAAAATTTGATCACGATTTTGTCGTGCAGCAATACTAATTGCTCGTTCACCTAAGAATACCGCATTTGGATCAGCTTTAGCTTCAAGAAGAACATCTAAACATTCGGGACGATCATTAATTGCAACTCTTAAAAAGAAAACGATTTTAGAAGAGAAAAAGAAATGTTTTTATTGGAATTTACTTATGTATTGGTCTTAATTGATGTTTATCAGGATGATTAACATCAGCACCTTTCGCAATCATTTGTTTAAGAAGATCTGCTCTTTGACTTTCAGTTAATGTTTGTCCTTTATATGGACCATCAACAAGAATGTGAATAGCTGTTAAATCATGTTCACTTTCAGTTTGATTTGGATCAGCACCATTCTAAATAAATCAACAACAACAAACAGATTGATTTTGCAAATAAAATAACAAATGTTCTTACATCAAGTAAACATTTAATAACATCATAATCTCCTTCAAAACAAGCTATGATCAATGGTGGAACTTTTGCACGTGATTCTCCTGATTTTTCATCATAAATATCAAGTAAATCTTTAGCTGAACTATTAGCAAGTGCAGTTTTCAATTGAGCTAATTTTGCATCTCCACTTGCTGATTTATCAACACTCCAAAGTGCTTTTAAAACATCATTATGTTTATCATAAAAAGGATGATCTTGACGACTAGAAAACAAAGAGAAAAAGGAAATGATATCATTTGTTGTTTCTCTTACCTCATTTTTGTTTTTTCTTTTTCGTGAAAATTCAAAAGACAAATCAATGAAGAAGATACAAAAGAAAAATATGTGAGAAAAATAAGTTTGCTTTGAAGATATTTATATGAAGAAATTAAGGAAAATATAAATCGTCCTTGCGTGACGTTGACGTCGAGAAACAGGTTTATAGGTAAAACTACGTATTTATTACATTGATGTGATTCAATCTTATTTCTTTTATTTATTTTTTTTCTTCGTCGTTTATTAATCTGATTTATCTGAAGGTGTTGAATATTATTCATTAATGATTATCTATTCATGGTCATTATATCATCATTAATATTTCTCGATTTAACCTTGAAATTACCTTTTCGATGAGTCAAACATTTGTTTTATGTTTTTTAAAGATTAGTTCTGTCCTGTACTCATTTACCCTTCGAGTTCTTTTTACACTCAAAACGAATTTCGTTTCATTTCATCTTATTGAGAAAGATTTCAATCGAAGATTTTATTTTTGAAAAAAAAGAGAAAAAAATAATGACAAAGAATGTCGAACTAATTATTTGAAAAAAAAGAAAAGAAAAAAACGAAAGAAAGAAGTGAAATTGTCTTTTGTTGTTTTGATTGAACAAATTGAAATAATTTAATTGGATTTATTCGAAGATTTCGATCGCCATAATTCATCTGATGATTGTTGATTATAAAAATAACATTCAGATCCTTTAAAAAAAACAAAATAAATATGAAATGAAAGAATAAGAAAAAACGAAGATTATTTACGATTTAATGTTTCAAATGATGGTAATGGAGTTGAATTCATAACAGGTGTTAAATCTGTATAAAGAGTATTTGCTTGTTGTTGAGTTGTCGATGATTGAGCTTGTTGAGGAGATTGACGTTGAAAATGAATCGAATCTTGTCTAGAATTATCTATATCAGTTGGACTTGATGAAGTTGAAGAAGAAAAAATTTGAGGATAATTTAATAAAATCATTGATTTATTTGTTAAATTATTTTCTTTGATGATAATTGAAGATTCTTCTTTAGGTAATCTTTCATCTATTAAGAAAAACAAAAAGAAAACTAAGAAAAGAAAGACAATATCTGTGAAACCTCGTTGATTTTGAATAATTGACATTTGTTCAAAAGAAAGAATTGATTGTGGTGATATGGAGATTCGAGAATCTAATAAAATTGGAGTCGAATTCGAACAAATCACATTGGGATTGGATTCAATTGGATAAAGTTCATGAGAATTTGAACAATAATATGAAGATTGACTTGGCCATTGATGATTTCGAACACTATCAAAATAATGCTTTGCAAAAAAAAGAAAAACAAGAAAATTCTTGAAGATTCTGTTTTGTTTGAAGAAAATTTACTCGAATAATTTGTTCATCAAGTTGTGTTCTTTGTTGAATTTCATCCATTTGAGAAAAATCAGCAAAAGGATTTTGTTGATAAAAATTTTCTAAAATCGACGCTTTTTCTTCTTCAACTGTTATTAAAATGGAATCCGCTAAAAAGAAAAGAAAATGAAGATGAAATTCAAGATGAAAATTCGTACGTGAATCTTTTTGATAAATATTCTCTTGATGATTCCAAGTTGTTTGAAATTGTTCTTGATAATTATTATCTAAATGAATTGAATCACTTGAATTTGTTGATGAATGACAATCTGTGATTCTTCCATTGCTTTCTCCATGATTTGTTTCTTCAATTTTATTTGAACAACATTTTTCTGCTTTTGTTCGAACAATTCGATTGATCGATGAAACTGATGGAGCACTTTTTTCATCACAAATACCATCATTGATCAATTTCGATTTTATTTCCCACGCAAACATTGTTGGTTGAGCTTTTTTATAATTTGTTATTGCATTGATTACTTTTGGTGTAGCAACTTTGGGTTTCGATCCTCCAATAACACCTGGTCGAATAGAACCTGTTTGAAGATATCTTTTCAAAAGAAAATCAAAATAAACAATTAGTTGATTGATGGCAAAATTCAAAAGAAGACAAATCTTCTTTTTTTACCTTCCGAGAATTTTGGAAACACAACCATGTGAAACTTTTAATTGTCTGGAAATATCACATGGCCGAATTCCTTGTTGATTTAAAGCAACAATTTGTTGTCGAACAACATCAGGTAAAGGTCGACCATTAACAAATAATCCACCTAATTGATTGATTCCTCCATGACCATCTTCATTTGAATTATCTTTTGATGATTGTCTTGTTGAACCTTTAAAAACAAACAAAGAATAAGAAGAAGAAAAAGAAGAAGAAGAAATATTACGTCGTCTTTGATTGAGATGATTTCTTGAATGAAATTGAATATCTGATGTATTTCGATTTGAATGACAAGAATTATCCAAAGAAAATCTTTTTGTTTCATAATTGATCATTAAATTATCATTTATATATTCATCATTATCAACCATTCTAAATTTTACATTTACATTTTATTTTCAACAAGTTTTCCTCTTCTTTTCTTCTTTTTCAAATTTTGTCTCTCAAATCATTTTTCTTCAGCTTGTTTTTTTGTTTTTTTAATTCAATTTTTTTTGGTTTAATGAAAAAATAAATAAATGAAACAAAAAAAGAAGTAACTGAAGAGAAAAATGATGAATTTGTGCTCTACTGGTCATGCGAATCGAAGAAGATCGCCCACGGCTCAACGTGTAGAAGAATCGATTTCTTACCTATCGTCCCTTTATTGCTTCCTTTGCTCGTTGTCGTCGTCGTTATTCTTCGTCACAGATCAATGCTTTTACTTTTTCATCAATATTCAAACCTTTCGTTTTTTTTTCTTCTCTCGATCGAAACATTTTCTACCAATGAAATCATTTTCTTTTTCTCTCGAATGTTCTTTTCTATTTATCATTCAATGAAATATTATTGGTAGATACATTTTTCGTCTTCGTCTTCTATTTTTATGGACATTTTCCCCCTCCTTCTCTATCTGTTCATCAGATAAAACATCGACTTGCTTTTATTATTATATAACATTCTTATACAATTCAATTTTGATCTTATTTAAGATTATCTTTCACTTGATATCGACACCTTTCATTTTCTCTTCTGTGTTTTTCCATTTAACAGTTCATAAGATCTTCTTCAATTTGATTTTTATCAAATATTTTTCTTATCCCTTAGGCAAAATATCATTTTCTCTTCAATTTCGATCGTGTTCAAATAGATAGAAGAAAATTTGAGAGATTTTATGAAGAAAAACAAAGTAAATGACAATCGAATGATTTGATGAGAGAAAAATGTTGAAAAAAAACATTTTGTCATATGTGTTACTGTTGTAAATGATGACGATGACCTATTCACCGTTTGAATTTCTACTCATCGAGAACGAAAAAGACAATTTTCTAATGGTCAAATTTCTTCGTCGTTTTTCCTTTTGCAATTTTTCATCGAATTAAATATCAAAAATGAAAGTCGAGAAAAACCATTTAAAAGACGTGTAAATGAATTTGAATCATTGTTGTCAATTATGATCTGTGAAAAAGATCTTTTCTTCCAAATTCATTCGTGTCTTATGTGAACATTCAAACAAATCATTTCTCAATTGAGAACATTTTGTGAATATATAGAAATATTTTGGAAAAAAAAAGAATGAATTCATTTAATTAATTAATCAATAACGATGAGAATTAAAATGAGACAGAAAAAAAAGAAGAACAAAGACAAGGAAAAAAAACTGAGATGAATATTCATTGAAATGACAAAAAAAAAGGAAAAGAAAATCATATTTGACACAAAAAAAGGATGATTTGTGTTCAATTACCATGAACTCATTTTATTCAATGCCATAAAATAAATCTGACAAGATGATCCATTACGAATTGATGAGAAAAACACTTTTTCATTCTTTTCACATAAATATCTTTGAAAGAAAAGAAAAAAATATCTTCTTTTTCTAAAATATAAATCTTCGTTTCTTTTTTACTTTAATTTTTGTGCCCTTTTATGCATAAAAACTCCATCTAATGTTGCTGAATCCACATTTCGTATTTCAATAGCTTTATTTCCCCATCCCATTACTTTTCCATTACTTATATATGCTAAACAAAATCAAATAAAACATTCTCTTTCGTTTTTCTTTTCAAATCAAACTGACCAACAGACGTTGGTAATTCTCCCCATTGTAATAAAATATCTTTTGTTCTTTTTCCATATGTATCACAATAAACACCTTCATCTAAATAAATGATTTCATTACGAGAAAACTTGTCTTTCAATTTACTATTGTAACAGAGAAGAAGTTGAATTCCATTTGTATTTGGAAGAACAATAATTGCATGTGGTTCAACACAATCATTTAACTTAAAGAAGAAAAACAAAAGAAGATTTTGGAATAAACGAAATGAATTTAAGAAGAAATGAAAATACTTGTGGTGGTAAATAAATATCAATTTGATTTGAAGTATCAAGATCAATTGCATGAAAACCATATGATGAACCATAAATAACTTTTAAACGTGAACCTTCTTCAATTGTTAAATCAACTAATAAAGGATGATATGGTAATTGAGAAAAAACTTTAAATGTCATAAATTTATGGTAAGGTTTTGGTGCCCAAGCATAGACTTCAATTGAATCATATAAAGCAACAATTAAGAATTTAATTCGTTCATATTTAACTTAAGAAAAGAAGAGAAGAGAATAGAAAAGAAAAGAAACGAAAAGATTAAATTTACCGATTTTGAAATGTTTTGCACCTTGTAATTCACCAAGATTAGTAAAATGATGTCGTTTAGGATCATTGGATTGTGTTTTAACAATTTTATTTTTTAAAAATGAAAGATAATAAAGACGAATTTTATTTTTCTTTCCACTTATTGTTAAAAGAATATTTTGTGATTCTAAAACACTTAATTGTTCAAATCTTCGTCCTTTTATTAACGAATAAACTTTTCCTTCTCCACTTCGATCTAATAACATTAAACCATTTTCAGTTCCAATTAATAAATTGACACCTAATATTGAAAATAAGAAAACATTTCCAGGAAAAAACAAACGACAAACCCCATAAAGCTGCACATAGAATATGACAATTAAATCGTTTTTTATATTTTCTTATTTCAGGTGCATTACATTTGAATTGATCATTTTCATCGAGATTTGGTGAAACATTGACATCAATCTTTTGAAAAAAAAAGGAAGAGAAAAATGTTATTTTGAAAAGAAAGATTTTTTTACTTGTGAAGATCTTTTATTAAAATTGGAATCTTTATTAAGATTTTGAATAGGTGAAGCAATAATTGATGTTGTTCGTTGTGGTGCATTACATACTGCTTGTCGATATTCATGTGATTGGGTTTGATCAAGTAAATGAATTGATTGATTTGATAAAAGATCAGGTAAAACACGTTTGGGATTATTTATATTAATAAATTCATCTTGTGTACAATTGATTTCTCTCAATGAATCATCAAAATCTGTTTCTTCATCTAAATCAGAATCATTTCGTGCTAATTCATTTAATTTTTCAACAACAGCAACTAAATCATCTGTTTGTCGTGGAAGTGCTATTGGTGGACCTGGTAATGATGGAAATGGTGGACGACGATATTCTTCTTCATCACGATCTTCTTAGTGAAAAAGAAAATAAGATCGGGAAAATGTCCAAAGAGAAATTATTTTACTTGATTGTTGATCAGTTGAATGTTGAACTGATTTAAAATTTTGTCTTAAAGTATTTAAATTATTTTCTTTTTGTGTAAATTGTTCATTGATTAATTGATTTTGGTCAAAAGGTATTTGATCATGTTCATCATCATCATCATCGTCATCTTCATCTTCATCATCAGATTTCTTCGACGTGACTTGTTGTTGCTGTTGTTGTTGTTGTTGTTGTGCTGCTTGATGATGAATTTCTTCTTTATTGATTTGTTGTGAATGAGTTGATGAACGACGAAACTTTTTTGTTTTATCTAAATATTCTTTGATTTGAAGTTTCACTTGTTTTTCTTGACAATCACGAATAAACGAATGTTTTAATAATTGTTCACAGTTCGAACGCATTAAATAATCTTTTATTAAACATGATTCAACAAAATTATGAAACTTTTTTGACCTAAATTCAATTGAAAAGAAAATCTTTTCTTGAAAATCTTTCTTTTTTCTCTTAACAAACCATTTGGATTTTAAACGTGGTGCAACATTTCTTGGAATTAAAAACAATGCTCTCATTGGATGCATTTCACATAATGCTTGAAAAGAAAGAATTTTCATTATTAAATGAGAAGAGAAACGAAATGGATTTACGTGGTTGTCCTTCAGCCATTTCAATTGCTGTTATACCCAATGACCAAATATCACTCTACAAAAAACATTTCATTTTGAACAAAACTATTTTGATTTCTACAAGACAAATTTTACTCGATTATCATATGTTGCTTGAGGATTTTCATCACAAGCGATTACTTCAGGTGCCATCCTAAGATTTATCAAAAAAAGAAAAGAAATAAAATCTTGTTAAGAAAATATTTCTTTGAACAAACCAATAAGGTGTTCCAATGAATGTATTTCTTCTTCCAATTGTTCGATCAAGTTGAGCAGATACACCAAAATCAACTAATTTCACTTCAGCATTTTCAGTTAATAAAACATTCTGAATAAAGAGAAGAGAAAAAGAACAACGTGAAAGATATTTTATTTAAAAAAATCTCAAATGAAATGAATTTACTTGTCCTTTAATATCTCGATGAATAATTTTATTTAAATGAAGATGATTTAAACCATTAATAATTTCTTTACTAATATATGAGATCCATTCTTCTTTTAAGGAATTTCCTTTTGTTGATTTGACCAGATCAGTTATTGAACCAGCACCACAATATTCCATAACCAACTAAAGAAGAAAAGAAACAAGATGAATTTATTTCAATTCAATTGCTATTTTTACCCATAATTGATCATGTTCATTTCTTCCTGGAATACATTTATTAATAAAGGCACCATAATACATTGCAATATTTCGATGATTTGAATACTTTTTTTAAGGAAAAAAAAAGAAAAGAAATGTAATTTTAAAGAAAAATAAATGAAATACTTTTTTCAAAACATTAACTTCTAATTTAATTTCTTCTTCTTCATCCTAAATATTCGAAAATATTTCAATGAAATAGAATCAACATTTGTCCTTCAACGAACTTGTGTTACATCCATTACTTTGATTGCAGCCAATTGCCCAGTTTTTGTATGACGACCCTTTTTCAATGTTACATTTTTTTATATAAAGAAATAACATCAAGATTTACTTTATAAACTTGTCCATATGTTCCATTACCAACAACTTCGATCAGTTCAAAAATTCCTGATGGATCCTAAAGAAAAGAAAGATATTTGAATTGATTGAATTCATTAATAAATATAATAAAATTTACTCGAAGTTGACTGAGATCGATTTCGATTTGATTATTATTATTCATTGAGGTTAACAGATGAGTCTTCTAGTCTATTCTATTCCTTTTTGTTTCTTTTAACATCTTATTCTCTTCTTCTTCTTTTGATCAGCCATTAACATTAGCATTTGTTCAATTCCATCATTCAATATAGATGTCACACATCTACACTTATTCAAACAATTCTTCTTTCTCAGATCAACATAATGAAGACAAGACAACATCTTCTGTACTCATTTGTATTTCATACTTTATGTTCATTAATACATAAGATTATTGTCTAATGACTTCGTATGTACGTTCATTACTATTGTTCGCTAAATAAAAAATCTCCTTATGATATGAACTCAAAAGAATTTGTGCTGAATTATTTATCTTATTTTTGGATATGTTTTACTGAAAACAAAATTATTCGATTATTAGAAATTTATCTGGATTGAGAATGAAGAACAAAAGTAAAAATCCTTGAATGAGTTATTTTCTTTTTGTCATTTGAGAATATCGACTAGTTGTAACGTTTCTGTTCATTATTCTATCAAGAGATTAGTCGTATCACATTATTGATATCATAATCATCGGTGTTGAGAATGTAAAGACTAACATATAATTGAATTGAATTTTTGACTTTGATATGATGGATGTCTCTTTATTATTGATAAAGATTAAACATGCTGAGAAATGACGTTAATAATCAATTGAATGTCATCTGAAAATCATATTATTTCAAGTATTGAACGGTAAATTATGTCATTATCTGACAGTTCAATATAAACGATTAATGAACACGACTATTGTCTCAATAACATGAATAATAAACATCATGTAAAAAAACGACTATGAAGATTGATTGCAAAGGCATTTCATAGAAGAAATTGCCTGATTTTATCGAAAGAAATTTGATCAATTTGACTTTCTAAACGATAATGATGATCCTTAGAACATTGTTTCAATATGTGTGATATGATCGGTGAAAGTTTGATCATAAAACAATCTTAATATATTGGAATAACTTCTTCATCAGTAGACAATCCTTTATACAAAATGAAATCAACCATAAACGAGCAAAAAAAAGCAATTCGAACCTACCGATTATATCAATCGCGATACTAAAATGTGATGTTTTTCATATCTTCACATAGTCAGTTGATGGATTACCAAAATAAATCGAGTCAGATTTCGATGCATCGTCGATTTTGTATTAAAACAATATTTGATTGTCATTAATTGTTATCTCTATTATTTAAATTATGATTTGAGTATTATTCGAATCGATCTGACTTAGATTTCTTTCATTTGATATTGTTTATCTCTTTATAAAGGGTTCAATTGAAAAGAAATAACCAAAATAGAGAAATTATAATGAAATAAAACAAATGAATATAATTCGTTGATCTTGTAGATAATAGAAATGATGGATTTGAATAAAATATTTATTTAAAAGATAGTCATAATTATCACCAACACAAAACAAATTGCAACATTCAACGAAGAAAAGAACAATACAATATTTAATATATTCTCCATGAGGATTTGTTTCTCTCTTTTTCTTTTCCAAATATTTAAATATGAGATAGAAAAAAAAAACAAGAGAAAATGTTTTTTTTTATTATTCCATAGGTTGATCAGTCGTCTGATTATTCGATTGTTGTGTATTATTTCCATTCGTATACTTTTGAATTTGTTCTCCTTCGTATTGAATAACTTCATGAAAGATCAATTCTTTCCATTGATCAACTGTAAATTCTCTTTCATCAACCATATGATTGTATTGTCCAGGTGCAGGCTAAAATTGTCAAGGTAAATTCAATAAGAAAGATTAATCTTCTGATCTTACAGCATTGACTTCAGAATCTTCAAACCAAACATTGATATATGGATGATTTAATGCTTCATCAACAGACATTCGACGATCAGGATCAATGATTAACATTCGACCAAGAAGATCACGAGCTAATGATGCTGAATTTGTTGAGAAAAGAAGTGAATATTATTAAAAGACAAGCAAAAAGAATTGAAACCAACCTGTTAATTTGCTTTGTTCAGAATCAGGTGGAAATAATTGATCTGGAAATAATCGTTCGAGTGGATAACCAGTGTATTTAGGTCGATTTTCGACATAATTTCGAACAGTTGGTTGTAAACGAGACAGAAATTCTCTTGGTGGTGTTCCCAATTGTTCAATAATTTTATTCCATTGATCGATGTCTAATTGAAGAAATAATCAATCAATTTATGTCTCTGAATCTTTGTTGATAATTACGATCTGATCCAGGAAAAATGACTTGACCACGTATCATTTCACCAAAAATACATCCAACAGACCAAATATCAACTAAAGAAAAAAGAAGAATTTTCGAAGTGAAATAAAGAGAAGAGAGAAGAAAAAAAACCATTTTCTTTGTAACCCATTCCGAGAATAACTTCAGGTGCCCGATAATATCTTGTAACAACATATGGAGTCATCATAAATGATGTTCCAGCTGTTCTTGCCAAACCAAAATCGAGAATTTTTAATGTACAATCAGATTTGACAACAATATTCGAAGGTTTCAAATCTCTGTGAATAATTCCCGCGGTATGAAGATGTTTTATTCCACATAAAATTTGATAAAGTAAATACGATATTCTTTCGTGATCTAAATCCATTTGTATAACTTGACAAAGATTGGCATCCATTAATTCCATTATAATATAAACATCATTAAATTCATCAAGTCTTGTTGATGGAGTAAATGCGTTTAATAATGAAATAATCTTCAAATTTATGAAAAATGAAATTTAATTTAATTAATAAAAGAAAAAACAACAAAGAAAACTTACATTTTTGTGATTAACTAGTTTAAGAATTGAAAATTCTCTAAAAGCGCGTTTTGCATGTGTTACATTTTGAAATGGTCTCGATAACTTTTTTATAGCAACATTTGTTTGTGTTAATAAATCGAATGCAGCACAAACAAAACCTTGTGCGCCACTTCCAATAGGACGAAGATTTATATAACGACGTAAAATGCGAAATGTTGTATCACCAACTTCAACTGTATAGAATTCGTAATCAGTTTTGGCTCCAACATGTATTCCTCCTTCTAATGACATTTTCTGTATTTTTCAATAATATATTATCATTCAGTACAACATCGATCATCAATAGTAACTGATTATAAGGTCAACAGAATCGAAGAAACCAATGAATTTATTTCACAATAGATGTCACTATACATTGTTCAACTACTTTTTCTCTTATTGCAGATGTTCTGTTGTTATAGTGAAATAGATAATTTGCGAGGTAAAATACAAGAAGAGTGAAATAATACGAATGAAATGAGAAGATAGAATATTGTTCTCATCCAAAGACAACTATTTCTTTCTTTTTTTTTATGATATTAATTGATTAATTTCAATGAAATTTCTTCATAAATGTCAAGTGCTAAATAAAAGAACAAGGATAATTTGAGTTAAAATGATTAAGGATAACATATGTATCAATACACGATAGAATATGAGTAAAAATGAGGATACGAGTGAGAGTGGAAACATGTATAGATTCCACAATTTAATTTTAATTTGATTAATATTTCATTCGATTGTTTCATAAAGAGATCAATGTACTCAAATTGAAAGATTTATTATGATCCACATATTGTTTATAGATGTTCTTTTTTTGTTTTGGAACGTCCACTCAAAGAATATTCTCTAAAATAATCGATATATTTTAATAAAATAAAATGACTTCGTCATTCATCTTACAGCATGACAAAAGCAATTTACTTTTTTGAAAAATATCTTGACTTAATCTTTTTTTTCTTTATTATTGTAGTTTTTTCATATTAAATTTTCTGTTTGAAATACTTTATCTTAGTCAGAAGTACTTAGAATATTGTCGAAATAACTGATGTAACATGATAAAGCATTTATGATGCAGAAATACCTAAAAAACGATATTGTATATAAAGTCTGTTGATTAACAAAAAAAACTCAATTGAAATCAATACAATATTTATCAAAGTCATCCAAGCAATAATGATTGTTACACTTTTCTTATTAATTACTCCATTGATCGGTTTAACAACAAGTCAAATTCCCAATCCTANATTCGACCAAGAAGATCACGAGCTAATGATGCTGAATTTGTTGAGAAAAGAAGTGAATATTATTAAAAGACAAGCAAAAAGAATTGAAACCAACCTGTTAATTTACTTTGTTCAGAATCAGGTGGAAATAATTGATCTGGAAATAATCGTTCAAGTGGATAACCAGTGTATTTAGGTCGATTTTCGACATAATTTCGAACAGTTGGTTGTAAACGAGAGAGAAATTCTCTTGGTGGTGTTCCTAATTGTTCAATAATTTTATTCCATTGATCAATATCTAATTGAATAAATAATCAATCAATTAATATTTTTTAAATTTTATTCATAATTACGATCTGATCCAGGAAAAATCACTTGACCACGTATCATTTCACCAAAAATACATCCAACAGACCAAATATCAACTAAAAAAATAAAGAAGAATTTTGTAAATGAAACAAAGAAAAAAGAAAAAAACCATTTTCTTTGTAACCCATTCCAAGAATAACTTCAGGTGCTCGATAATATCTTGTAACAACATATGGAGTCATCATAAATGATGTTCCAGCTGTTCTTGCTAAACCAAAATCAAGAATTTTTAATGTACAATCAGATTTAACAACAATATTCGAAGGTTTTAAATCTCGATGAATTATTCCCGCAGTATGAAGATGTTTTATTCCACATAAAATTTGATAAAGTAAATATGATATTCTTTCATGATCTAAATCCATTTGTATAACTTGACAAAGATTAGCATCCATTAATTCCATTATAATATAAACATCATTAAATTCATCAAGTCTTGTTGATGGAGTAAATGCATTTAACAATGATATAATCTTTTAAATTTATGAAAAAACGAAATTCAATTGAATTAAGAAAAGAAAAGAAAAGAAAACTTACATTTTTGTGATTAACTAGTTTAAGAATTGAAAATTCTCTAAAAGCTCGTTTTGCATGTGTTACATTTTGAAATGGTCTTGATAATTTTTTTATCGCAACATTTGTTTGTGTTAATAAATCAAATGCAGCACAAACAAAACCTTGTGCACCACTTCCAATAGGACGAAGATTTGTATAACGACGTAAAATGCGAAATGTTGTATCACCAACTTCAACTGTATAGAATTCGTAATCAGTTTTGGTTCCAACATGTATTCCTCCTTCTAATGACATTTTCTCTATTTTTTTTTAATAATATATTATCATCCAGTCCAGTACAACATCGATTATCAATAGTAACTGATTATAAGGTCAACAAAATTTAATAAACCAATGAATTTATTTTCGAATAGATGTCACTATACACAGTTCAATTATTTTTTTCCTTTTATTGATGTTCTGTTGTTAATGGAATAGATATTTTCGAGAAGAAAAGGAAAAAAAAAGAAGAGTCAAATAATACGAATGAAATGAGAACGATAGAATATTGTTCTTATCAAAGGACAATTATTTATATTTCTTTTTTTTATGATATTAATTGATTAGTTTCAATGAAATTTCTTCATAAATATTAATCAAGTACCAATAAAAGAAGAAGAGATGATTTGGGTTAAAATGATTAAACATAATATAAATATAAATACAAAATAGAATATGGAGTAAAAGATGATGATAAGAATGAAAGTGTAAATATGTATAGATTGTACAATTTAATTAAAATTTGATTGTTTTATAAAGAGATCAATTTACTCAAATTCAAATATTTATTATGATCCACATATTGTTTATAAATCTTCTTTTTTTCTTTTCAAAAAACATTCGTTCGAAGAATGTTTTTTAAAATGATCGATGTATTTTAATTAAATCAAATTACTTCGTCATTCATCTTACAGCATGACAAAAGCAATTTTTTTTAAAAATATTTCGGCTTAATCCTTTTCTTTATTATTGTAGTTTTTTTTCATACAAAATTTTCTAATTCGAATACTTTATCTTAGTCAGAAGTACTTAGAAAATTGTCGAAATAACTTTTATATCATGATAAAGCATTTATTTTTCCTTTGTAATAATTCTATGTGAAAAAAAACGATATTGTATATAAAGTGTGTTTATTAACAAAAAAAAACAATTGAAACGAATACAAAATTGATAAAAATCATTGAAGTAATAATGATTGTTACATTTTTATTATTAATTATTCCATTGATCGGTTTAACAACAAGTCAAATTCCAAATCCTATTCGATATCAAGTTAGTTTTAGTGGTGGATCACATTATGCTGTTGATAAAATACGTTGGAGATTGAGTTCCAAAATATGTACATCAGGTGAAACTGTACCATCGAATTGTAGTTCTCAAGAAATCTACGTTCCCAGTGAAGGTCGTACTTATAAATTTCAACTCACTACCGCAAATCCATGTATTGTAAATCGAGGTGCATTTCTGAAATACATTGATATTTGGCCTGGTATTGTCGAGTCTTTTGGTGGAGAAAATAAAACATATGATAAAATTATTTTTGATAAAGATTGTGATGGACCTTGTTTGACTTGGTTTATTTCATATAATGAAACTGTTTATTCATTTATGCATTATGAACGTCGATTATATATTAGACAAGCAGATTCAAGACCAATTAAAACTACTTTAGCATGGTATGATCTCAAAACAGGACAATTAGTAGCAGAAACTGAAAGTAAAATTACTTATTGGAATTTAGATGAAATACCAGATTCAAAATTTCAATTTCCAATGGATATTAAGAAATGTTATTATGCATAAGAAAATTGTCATTTTTTCTCTTTAAACATCAGAAATGACAATTTAAACTTTTAAAATTCATCAGAAATAAATATTTCGAAGTTATAATTCAATATATTTTTTTAATCTTTTCAAATAAATCAATTTGAAAAGTTTTCTAATGGTGAACAGGAATATCATTTAAGTAAAATTGAAAAGGAAACAATTTGCTTTTCTATCTTATTTATCGTTAATCAATTTCTTGTGTATTTCAATAGAAAACAAATATTTGATTATTTATTTCATATCTTTTGATTTTCAATGAACATGATTTAGTCAAGTTTCTATAATGAAGAAGACTTGAACTACATGACACATTTTGATTTTTCGATACGTAACAACTTGTATAGAATATGTAACATCAATGATACCATCTCTAAGATAATATCAATTAATAAAATTTTATAGAAAATATATGAATAGACAAAGAGAGAAATAAAAGAAAATCCGTTCTTCAATTGAAAAATTCATGTTTTTTCATCATATGAGAATTGTCTATAGTTTAAAAGAATAGATCTTTTTTTTGGCATCATTGATGTAAGAGTCTTTGCGTCAAAGGTCAATAGATAATTGATTTGATAGTTTACTAAATCACTTTCGATCAACAAAGTCATAATTTGATGCACTTTATTCTGAATTGTTTCTCAAAATAATGTGTTATGTAACAGACTCAATAGAACGAACGACAAATACAAAGAGATGAGAGTTGGAATGTTATGTTCTCGTGATCGATGTCAATTTGATAAAACTTCTCAGAAATTTTTATTGAAATATTTATTTCAATTAAATAGTTTTTTAAAGGTTTTTTTACAAGATTTTTATCAAATATTCAATATATGAGTTGTTTTAATATAAAAGGTCAATAGATAAAATGAAACCAATCAAACAAGAAAATGAGAGATGTTGCTTGATAAATTTTTATTTATTTCTTGATGATCATTGATAGAATAGTTATTTGTTAAACAAGAAGAAGAAGAAGAAGATGTATTCGGGAAATGATAATTGGTCGTATGAAGAATCAAATAACAATGAAAAAAAGAAAAGTCGTTTAGAAAATAGTTCAATAAAACGTGAAAA